ACCAGTTGTGCCATTGCTGCAACGAAGATGTCTCTCTCTACACCCTCCTGCAACCTGGAATCGTGGGGGGGCTGCAAGCCTGGCCCTGGCATGGCTATCCCAGCCTCTGCTGCTTTGGCAGCAGCAGAGCCAGCAGCAGCTCAGCTATGACACAGGAGTGCTGAAATGCTCAAAGCTGGCAACAGGGAAGTTGCAGGGGACAACATAATCCTGTTTACAGGACTAAGAGACCAAGAAATAGGAGACTCAGTTTTAACTCCGAGGTCCACAACTTTCCATCTTTTGTGATCATAGAGTATATTTAGCTCTGGTATGTAGCTTGCTCCCATCCGTGGGGAACAAGTTCTTCATATAAGTCATATTTAGAAGTGACCCAGTGTCCTTGCTACCAAATTATCAGCACAACAACTGTCTAGCTCCCTCACTGGTGTCCCCAGCTCAGAGGCAGGCCAGCCAGAGCCACATTTATCATTCAAATTACTGGGCATGTGTTTAATACTGCAGACTTAGGGACTGGTATGCCAACAGCTGTGCAAAGGAAAGATGAGATCAAGTACAAGCTGGACTGCTCTAAGAATTCAGACGCATGCACCAATCTGCCACGTTGGGACTGTGTGGCACCAGCCAGACCAGAACAGGAGAATTTTGCATCTGCCACTCCCCAGCTCCTTTGGTCTCTGCTGCTATGGAGGTTGGTCTTGTGCTGGTGAGGATGAAGAGCAAATCCACTGAGGGCAATGGAATCATGCAGAGAAGACAGCACAACTCGTGTGCTGTAAAAACAAAGCTAAAGCCAGCTCAGCCTGGCTCTCCACCACAGGCATGCTGGTGCCTCGACTGCACTGGAATGGCACGGGGCACTCTTTACCCAGAGCCTGTCCCCTGCGAAAGGTCTGCTACTGCCTTGAGCTTGGTGCACCAGTTACACAGCCAAGTGTAAGGTCAGTATATCAGACCAGGCTCTCCTTTCTTATTGTTCTATGGACCCATACGAGATGCAGGACATGAGCAAATTGTGTCCCTAACCATAGCACATCATATACCAAGCGCTCAGGTCTGATACCAGTGTTTGCCAACGCGAGGCAGATACCCAGAAACAATTACAAAGCCACCTGATCTGCTTATAAATACATGTCTACTCTTAATTAAATAAATAAAGACCTCTTTCTGACTGACAAGCACATGGTCTGAAAAGCAGTAACCATGCCTGAGAACTAGCAGCTGAAGCCATTTGGAAAAGGGATTTGGATGTTTCTTAGGAAATCCCCCCTCCAAAAAAGCTTTCATGTCACAGGCACATGACAAACAACAGGTGCTGGGAGCACATTCATCCCATGGGAGCTGGGGTCCTGGGCAGACAAGCTTTGGGCAAGTGGGAGCACAGGGAATGCCAGCTGACAGAGGCCAAACAGAGCAAGGCCAGCATGTGCCGTTCTATAAGCATAACCACAGAAAAGATGAAAGTTTGTTTCCTTTTATTTTTAACCCAGTAGAGAAGGTTTAAGGATATTATACAGCTGCGAGGGAGGGCGGGCAGACACAAAGAGGGACTTTCTTCACTTCCGAAAGGCAGCAGCATCAACACATGAAATTTCAAAGAGATTTAACTCTTCTGATGCTGTCTGAAACCAGAATCAGGGGGGCTGCCAAAATAAGCAGCTACACAAGGATGGGCAGCAGGGGTCTCTGAGGCAGCGATAGAAAGAGCTGGATCCTACTACAAGAGACAGCTGTATGTTTCCAAGAGCTCAGTAAATGGTAGATCTCCCACACAGATAGCTCCTTTGCTGAGGCACAGCCACAGGAATGCATCTGCCATGCGCTGCTCGTGTCCAGAGCAGCAAGCATGGCTGCAGAGAGGAGAACCAGGGAATCCCCATTACCTGTACAGACTCAAACCTGTCTCCAGCACCATGGGAGAGGACCAAGAGGGGGGCACAAAGACTTCTGCCACATCACCATGTACTCCCATGCAAGCAGTCTACACAGTTGCTCCTAGCAGCTGCCAAGAAGTTTCATACGTTTGTCAAAATTTCACAAAAGGGACACTGCTGCAGTAATAGAGTAATAATGTTTGGGGAGAGAGGGTCCCCCTCTTCTCCAATCCCGTAAGCACAGCTCTGTGCTCGCCAGGAGCTGCAGGGACACACCGGCATTACAGCCTCTAAGCACAGCACAGTCTGTAAGCTCCAGGCTAATAACGCTTCCCTAAACTCAGAAGCCAGATCTCCAACTCACCCTGACAAAGACACATCCTTTGCCTTGCCTTACTGCAAAGATCTCTGGTTACTACAATCAAGAGACTACTTTTCAAAGGAGGATTTACTACCGACTCCATGCTGTCTGCTGGGCGAGTGCCTCCCCTGCCAGGACAGCAGGAGGAAGGCAAGAGGCTCTTGATGGTTTCTCTTTCTGTTCCACATACCCAGGCAGTATTTACAGCTGCATTTGGGTGCCTGGGGCTGAGGAGGGGAGGAAGCCTTCAGTTTATAAATAATCTCCATTTAACGTTTGAGTAATTTTCATGGTTTCCATTCATTTCAGGTTTCACCAAAACCTGCATTTTGTGGCTTGATAGCTGGAAGACAACTGGCTGACATTCTCTGATTTAGCTACCTAGCAGTTAATGGGCTCGTTCATTTCTTCCTTGCCAAGTCCAGCTTGCACACTTAGTAGCCATGTCCCATAACAATCGTCTTCTGGAAACCACATGCCAACCCCTGGGCACAAACTCCTTGCAGAAACAGGAAATGCAGGAAGGAGAACCTGGTAACATCTTACACCACAGGCAAAGCCACTGAGAGCCACTGAGCTTGAGTTTGGTAAGGACCCACTCAACACAGTGCAAACAGACAACAGCAATTCAATGAAGCTTCCAAAGACAGACAGTCCCTGATAAACTCCTCATCTATCCTCAAATCCCACAGAGGACCAAGGAAACTGAGTTCAAGAGAATGCAAGAATGGAGCCTGGCAGGCTCTTAATTTTGTTGAGACAAAGAGGGAACCTGCAGCCAAGCTCTATTGCTTGACTGAGCACCTGATGCTTTGCTCAGAAGCCAGAGAGCAGCTCCCGTCACGGTGTTCAGGTGAATGGCTTTTTGCCCAACCCATGTTTCCAGTCATTGTGCTACAGCAATGACTGCGTGCAATGAAATTCTCATCGTCTGATGCTTGCAAATGATATATAATCCCCTCCCTCCAACCCTCCAGTCTCCTGGTTCCTGTCTCTTGGCAACTGATAAATAATTTATAGTGCTCTCTGCTGTATGTGCTAACTGTAGCTCTGCTGGTTTAATGATGAAACCAATGCCTAAGATCTGGAACAGTAACTGTTTAGATCACAAGGAACACGCAGTCAGTTGATCAACACTCCTCTGTATGTGAAACTAAAAGCAAACTGTTCAAAAACTCCGTTTTCCTGAGCTGCAGAGCTGCACCCACAGGAACAGCACCCACAGGAGCAGCAGATTATCTGCACGGGGTGCAGGCGTGTGCCGGCACTCCTGCCAACACGAGGAGTTTAACGTGCTTCACCATTTTGCTCTTTTCTGTTAGCATGCTTGGAAAAGCCTGTAACAGGCTGGTTTTATCGTCAACTCTTGTGCACTCCTGTGCAATCTGGAAAGCCTCTGTGATTCACATCTCAAAGTCACTGTTGCTGCCTACTCTGGGGGCTAAGAAAATTATCATAGCTCCCATGGAAGGAGAGCTATTAAAAAGCAGCATCTTGTCTACATGGACTACTGTGGCTCTTGCACACACGAGAAGGAAGAAAAAGAGACTCATTATTTCATGACAGATGTTCTTCGAGTCTTTCCAACAGAGCCGTAACCACATATGAAAACTGGCATGTTTGAACCGTACACAACATGTGCACACTGGGTGTGCACTATTGTGGCAACACAGCCTCTTACATCCATAAACTCACTGGAATGAGATTACCCGGGCAGTTGGCAACTGCAGCCATGAAGGCAGAGGAGTGAAAGTTTCTGTTTTGTTGCTAGCAGATTTTTCCTTTTTAAGAAAACAAAACAAAACAAAACCCAAAAACCACCTACCCAAAACCCCATGGACAGAGAGCAGGAAAGGG